AAAATTAGCAAGGCGTGGTGGCACGCACCTGTAATTGGGCTATTTTAGGGGGAGACAGATGTAGCTCATGCCCATCTGTGTTTGAAATGGAATAAATACTTTCAACAGCAGGAATATAGTTCGGTAAACCCCGGTAGGCAGCCACCTAGCATTTTCTGTAATGCGTTTTTTACAGTAAATATTTTTCAATGGCATGAGCAGTGGAACGCCATAGCATCATTTAAAATTATTTCGGTGAAGGTCTTGGTAGGACAGATGTTCATGATGTTATAAGAGAAAAAGCCTGTCCGGGACGATCCTGTCTTTGTTTTAAAAACAACATTTTAAAACAATATAGGACATATGTAGCGTTATATACTGTGTACATGTGTAATTATAGTTTTGAAAAGTTTGGAAGCATATATATCAACATGGCCTCAGTAGCTTTCATTTAATAGATCACAGGCCGTTTTTATGTCTTTTCTGATTTTTTCCAATTCATGTTTTTGTTTTTCCATAACAAGGATAGTATTTTTAAACAAGGAGAGAAAAATAAAAATTTAAATGTTCTTAAAGAGGCCAACCAGAGCAGGGGAAGGAGGGCGTCTTGGACGGGCCCCTACGTAGTTTCAGAGGCGCATTGCCTTTCAGGAACACAACTTGCTCATCTGTGTATTCCCCAAGACTAACTAGCCAACTGCCTAGCACACACTGATAAGAAAATATGTGAGAGATCCGTAATCGTTTTCTTTTTTTTTTTTTTTTTTTTTTTTGAGACGGAGTCTCGCTCTGTCGCCCAAGCTGGAGGGCAGTGGCGCGATCCTGGCTCACTGCAAGCTCCGCCTCCCGGGTTCACGCCATTCTCCTGCCTCAGCCTCCCGAGTAGCTGGAACTACAGGCGCCCGCCACCGCGCCCAGCTCATTTTTTGTATTTTTAGTAGAGACGGGGTTTCACCATGGTCTCGATCTCCTGACCTCGTGATCCGCCCGCCTCGGCCTCCCAAAGTGCTGGGATTACAGGCGTGAGCCACCGCGCCCGGCCCCGTAATCGTTTTCAAAGAAGGCAGACCTTACAGAACAGATAAAATTTGAGCTGGATCTTGAAGAATTGGCAGAGAGCATTTCAGACCACAGGGTGGTAGTAGAGGTGTGAGCTGGATGACAGCCTAAAAAAAAATTGAGGCAGGAAGATATACATCATTTTAGGCCCGGACGCGGTGGCTCACGCCTGTAATTCTAACACGTTGGGAGGCCAAGGTGGGCGGATTGCCTGAGCTCAGGAGTTTGAGACCAGCCTGGGCAACACGGCGAAACCCTGTCTCTACTAAAAATAGAAAAAATTAGCAAGGCGTGGTGGCACGCACCTGTAATCCCAACTACTGGGGAGGCTGACGAACAAGAATCGCTTGAACCCAGGAGGCAGAGGTTGCAGTGAGCGGAGATCACACCACTGCACTCCAGCCTGGGCGACAGAGCAAGACACTGTCTTGAAAAAAAGAAAAGAAAAAAAAAAAAAAAGAATTCCAGGACAGCCCTAAGGCATTGGGTCAAATGGACCCAACTGTTCTGTTCTGTTGCAGAGTGCACCTGCAATAGGAATACAGTGATTAGAAATAAGAGACATGGACATTTTTAGTGTGCAATTAAAAAAGTCCACTTTTGACAGCCTGATGCGGATATGCCAGGGCCATCTCTAGGTAGTAATTTCCAAGCCTGACTCTCAGAGCAGCTGCATTAGTCTCTGGGGAAGCTTGTGAAGGATATGGATTTCTGGATCCCATCTCATATCTACTGAATCAGAATGTCTTTGGAATGGGTCCTGAGTATTGTGGAGAAAACTTATTTTAAAAGAAGGTCTCTTTTTAACAAGTTCCTTGTAGGGGTCGAGGTAAGGGTGAAAGTGGGGCTCTGCGGACAGCCAAGTTAGGGTAATGATGACTTGCTCTGTCCTCCACTGAAGACAGGGATCTATTGCAAAGCATTTCTGGTGCTGGTCTTCCTGCCTCTATTTGCAAAAAGAATGAAGATAAACCTCCTTGGATTGATAAATGAGGCTTCCAAAGCCTTTCGCTCCATTTTGGACACAGGTGTCAAAAGCTGGCATGAGAGTTTCCACTCCTGTGCCTTTCCTCATGCTTTTCCCCTCTCCTCTTGCCCACCGAAAGTTCTCACACCTTTTCCAGACCAGCATATGCCCCAATTCTTCCAATTAAGTCTCTCCATGCCAATCACGCCTGCAGCAAGCTACTCTAATAATTTTTATTATCGGTGCCGTTCTTTCGGCATTGAGAAAAAAATTACAATACAAGCGAATAGTGTCCTAACTCACCTCTTGGATTATAAGTTCCCTGAGAGCAGGGACTATATCTTATTTCTTTTGTCTTTCTTGCAGTGCTTAATACCGGGCAGGTTTAGGCAATATAAAGTAATGATTTAGTACAAGTCTTCATTGATTGCTCTGTGTGGTGTGATAAACTGTGGTCCAGAGAATCATCCCCCTCCTCTGCTCTAATACTTCTGCAGCCCCTACAGACTTCACCTTCCTGCTGAGTAGTCCCAGAAAAAAAATCGTAAAGCATCTTCAACACACCCAGAAGGAGCCTGGAAGAGCTGGAGAACATGAGACCACATGTCAACTCAGGGCATCAGGGAGGCAGGAAGTGTGTGGTTCAGACTGCGTGCAGACTGTGTCGATGTAGGGGCTACCGATCCACGCACCCCTGTGAGTGCTTCCTATACTTCAGCAGGTACAGCAGAACAGATGGACCTCTAGTTTTCCAGCTGCTCCCTTACGCCTGAACTTTTCCCCTGGGACCAGGCACACAGCCTGAAAGTTCAGGCTTGGGGTTTTCAAAAAGATTGTGGTAATCGTTGCTGCCCACTAAATATTTTTAGCTGGTTTCCCTTGAGGAACATGGCTGGATGGCACTTCCTGGTTTCTTCTGGCTGGTTTGGACCATGTGACAAGTTCTGGCTGATGTTTTTTCTTTCCCTCTACTATGGTAACCCAGCAATATTTGAGGAGGTGGGTGCTGTATTTGCCTGCATCCTGGAGGCAGGGGACATTGAGTGGAATCCCCAGCTGCCCATGATGAGCTCCTTACAGCATGAACATGAAACTTTTTGTTGTAACATGGTTTGGGGGTTGCTTGTTTCACAGCTTGACCTAGACTATCCTGACAGATACAAAGGCATGGTGAAAGTTGGCCAGGCGTTGCAGCAGGCATCCTTGGGCTCCAGGTGGTGTCTGCTTGAGCCAAACTTCACTTACATTGTCTGAGTGCTCTCACCTTGAGCATTACCCTGCAGCGGTTAGAAGTGGTGAAGTGCTGGAGAACTTGCAGCTGGCCCTGGAGTCTCTCCCCTGGAGCCAGTGCCAAGTTCCTGCCTCGAATCCCTCAGTGAAATTTGCAGATTGGGATGGGCAGGGCCATGGCTCTGAGAAGCTACCTCCTTTCCTTCTTCTGCTGGGAGCTGGGAGACTCACAGTCCTCTGGGGTTGGCTGGCTGGAGGCCAGCGCCTCAAAAATATTCTATACCAGAGCCCTTGAGTACAGAGAAAAGTATGTCCTGCGGGTCTGGACGCTGCCTGCAATGGCCCTCAGTGAGCCAGAAGTTGTGATGAATTGTCATACTTTAACAGTCCATGTAAATCGTGTCTCCCTTATAAAACTTCTGTGCTTGTTTTAATTTTAAAAGATTATTTTGATTTATCGACCACAGTAAAAATTTTATTTGATGTTTCAAGACCCCTCTGTTGCTCCTGAAATGGGAACAATTCCTTCATCCCCCTCTCAGGGTGTGAGATGGGGGCTGTGGCTCACGTCATTGGTGCCCCGCTGCTCAAACCTCTAGCGGGAGTAGCAGGCAGGTTGTGGGGCTCCAACCCCACAGCAGCATCTAGTGTAGAGTGTTTACAGCTCCTGAAGCCCCAGTGGCTGTGTGTTACAGTGCGCTCTTTCAGTTTAGCCGTCCACAGGCAGCTTATGTTAATCAGCTCGATTAGACCCTCTGCCTTATCACAAGGACAGAGGGCTTTCTGTATCCTGGAGTTCTTGCCTTAGCGTGCCAGAAAAATTAGATCATGCGTGGGCTTGGGGATGGGTGCAAGGTTTTTTGTTAAGTGGTGATAGCTCTCAGTGAGGTGGATGGAGAGGCCAGAAGGAGGATGGAGTGGGAAGGTGGACTTTCCCTTGAGTCGGGCCGCCCAGTGGACAGGCCCTCCTCCGACTGGCCTCGGCTGAACTCTGTGTCGTCCCGTCACAGATGGCCTGCCAGTGTCTGCTGGTGTCTGCCAGTGTGTTCTTCTGCTGTTGAGTTCCTCTTAATGTCCAATTGCTTGTGTCTGTGCCTACTAGGGTCTGAGGGTTTTTATAGGCACAGGATGGGGGCTGTGACAGGCCAGGATGGTCTTGGAAATGCAACATTTGGGCACAGAAACAGACATACCTGTTCTCACCTAGGTCAGTGGGCACAGGCCTGAGGGTAGAGCCTTTGCCAGGGACCCTGCCTTTCTCTACCCAGCACTTTCCTGTCTCCCTCCTGTATCACTCCCACATCCCTCCCCACTCTGGACCTCCCTTTCAGGGAGTCTGTGCCTCCGTCAGAGAAGCACAGCTCCAGGCATCTCAGGTATTGCTGAGTTTCCACCCTGATGGCATCACCCTCTGCCAACCTAGAGGTAAGATCCTGATGTGGCATTAGAAAGCCAGGGGCAAGGTTAGCAAGTGGCAAATATGTGGAGGAAGTTTCAGTGCCCTGGCGTCCATGATTGCCTTTCAAGTTTTCTAGAAGCTTCCATAGCCTCAGTTATTCTGATATGGTGATGTTAAAACCTGCCTACACCAAGGGTGTTTATGACTGACAACAACTTAGAGAGTGACCCATCCCAGGGCCCTGGCTCTTCTCTGGGGTCAGAGCTTTGAGCGACAGGAATGAACAACAGGGCATTCCAGACTCCCTCAGCAGAGTGCAAGTCTCTGCACCTGAGTTCTCCAGGGCAGGATTGAGGTCACCTTGCGCCGGTGGAGATGAGATGGATGGTGAAAGAATATAGGAGGCCCTTACTTTAAGCAAACTCCAAATATGGAAATATGGAAAAATCCAGACATATGAAACAAGCACCAGAGTTTTGTTTTTAGATCCATTTAAAATTTTTAATAACTAAAGTTATTGAATTTTCCCGTAACTAAAATCTCCACAGCTTTTGAAAATAGTGTTCTAGGTACAAAAATTGGATTTCTCAAGGAGCACTTACTGTGCAGAACATGGCCCACCCCAGAAATATTATTAATTATGATAGAAACAAGCTTATTACTCAGATGCTGACTCATATTTACAAGAGATTTTGAAGTTTTATAAGGGCTGACCTTCGAGTCATCAATTTTTGACGACCTCACAATAGTCCCTCATGGCTTTTAGAGTGGGGGAAGCCTGTCACATCAAAGGCTAGCCAGATGAAATGAAGAATATTTTATAAGGACACTGAGTCCTTTTGAGCTTGGCTAGGGACAAAACCCACTCAGCAGAAATTAGTCAACAAGTCTATACTGAGTATTTACTGGGTCCTCAGTCAGATTATATACATGAAATGTATATAATCAAGGTGACAGTATTTTCGAAACAGAAAACTCAGGGTTTTTAGTATAACAAATGATATTTATGTCATTTATTGGTGCTAAGAGATAGTCTGGGAGATGCAATTTGGACCTCAAATATAGAAAAATATGGGCCAATTTATGCATTCATTTGAATAAAAAAGAATATGTGAAATTATGATTGTCCTGGGAAAACAAGTATGCATGGTCATTTGTTCAACAAAAACTGCCCAGGGTTCAGCACAAAGATGAAAGCTGCAGTCCTTGCCTCAAAGAGCTCACTGTCTAGTTGGAGATGGATGTGCAAATCAACAACAATAAGGGGATAGATGTGAAAACAAATTCCAGGAGAGTGAATAAGGAGTGCTAAGTCTTGCCTGGGAGTCAGGGATCACTTCTCAAAGCAGGTAACTTGACCTGAACAGAGAAGAATCAGTAGAAGTTTGCTAAGCAAGCGTGGGTCAAGGAATATTCCAGACAGGAAATAGAATGTCTGAAATATGGGGGAATGGGACAATGCATAGAGAATGACAAGAAAATTCAGTATGGTTAGAATGGTGGGTGGCCATGGGATGGGGTGAGGGATGAGAGGCAAGAAATAAGACTGAGGTGAGATCATAAGTAGTTCTGTATACCATGTTCATAATTTATTGTAATTTTTACTATTTTTTTGAAACAGGGTCTCACTGTCTCCTGGGCTGCAGTACAGTGGCATGATCTCGGCTCACTGCAGCCTCAACCTTCTGGGTTCAAGCAATCCTCCTGCCTCAGCCTCCCGAGTAGCTGGGACTACAGGTATATGCCACCACACCTGGCTAATTTTGTTTGTTGGTGGAGATGGGTTTTTGCCATGTTGCCCAGGCTGGTCTTGAACTCCCGAGCTCAAGCAATCCACCTGCCTTGGCCTTCCAAAGTGCTAGGATTACAGGCGTGAACCACTGTGCCCGGCCTCATGTACATAATTTAGATGCTATTATCTAAGACAAGTGCTATCAAATCATTTTAGCTCCAAGCCCCTTTCTTCAAATAAAAATCTGAGAAGTACAATATAGAAATCGGATCAATGAGAAAGTGCCCAGTGGGAGTTTCTCTCTCTCTCTCTCTCTTTCTCTCTCTCTCTCTCTGTGTGTGTGTGTGTGTGTGTGTGTGAGAAGGAGGAGTCCACAAGCCCCCTGGCAGCTTCACCATTTCCACATCCCTACTGGAAGTTCTAGAAGAATTTCCACAGAACACACTTTAGACCCACTGATTTAGGAATTGGAGAGTAGCTGATAAATTCTGAGGAGGGAGAATTAGGTATTTTGAAAGATTACTCTTGAGGTTTTATGACTGGTTGCTGTAAAAGGAGGGTGGCTCATGCCAAGAGATAAGCACAAAAGTTCAGGTGAGATAGCTAGAGGACAAACTGGAGCTCTCATTGTTGAGAAAAGAGGCCCTGATAAACACACCACCCTTTCAGCTTTGACCCTTGCAGGGCTAGATCAGCTTCATAAGAATTCACATCCAATTTGGAATCATATCATTCCCAGATTGATCTATGATAATCTGCTTCTACTCTAACTGCCTGACAGGAGGAAAAGCAAATTTCTCTGAAAGAAGATAGCATCTTGTACAACCTCAAAATATTACATTTTCAAATACAGTATCTGTCACTCAATCAAAGACAACCAAACATGCAAATAGATAAAATTGAATGAGAATCAAGAGAAACACAGACAATAGATACAAATTCATGAGAAAGCCACATAGTAAAGTTACCAGACATAGACTTTAGGTTAACTGTTATTTATAAGTTTAAATGTGATTAATAAATGACAGAATGGGTAATTTCAATGGAGAATTAGATATGATAAAAAGAATCAAACAGTAATTCTATAATGTAAATAAATAACTTAGTAGATGAGTTTAACAGCACAGTGGGCACAGCTGAAGCAAGAATTAGTAATACAGAGTACAGGTCAGGAGAAAATATCCAGACTGATGCACAGAGAGACAAATAGTGAAAAATATATAAAATCTAAAAGAGAATACAGGACATGGAGAAATGGCCTAACATATGTATAATCAGAAACCCAGAAAGACAGGAGAAAGAGAAAAGAGGTAGGAGTAATACATAAAGAGATACTGACCAATAATTTTTCAAAACAAATGAAATGAGACAAGTGCAACTTGCATGAGTTACAAATTCCAATT